GGGGGCCTTCTTTTTGGCCGGCTCAAGTCGCAGGCAGAAATAGAAGCAGGCGACCACACAGCCCCACTATGCGAACATATTTTGATGTCTATCTTGTGGGGAGTTGCAAAACTTATTTGAGAGAGCTGGAGGTTTGTTTTCGAGTTTCAGGGAGGAAGCGAGATACAAGTGAGAGAGCGAGGAGGCTAGTCCGATCGAGCTGCCGTCTGGGCGTTGATGTTGCATCAGCCATCGTGGTCACCCCTCGTCGTGGCATTGTTTTTCTTCGCTCGCTGTGATTGATCGAGAAGACGATGAGAGAGAAGCGTTGAGAGAATGAGTCGAGTCAACAATAAGTGATAGACTGCAAACTGTAGTTATGCAGACATCACGGTCTAGGAGAAGTATATTAGACGTATTTTGAGAATGCAGGATCACGCGAATACTTACCCAATCTAATACTTCGAGGTACTATTATTGCAACAAAAAAACAGCAACAGCGGCCACTTGTATCACTTTGTCAGCAATTTTTGGACTACTACTTTAAAACAACTTCAATTCCTTCAGTAACTTCCACTATTACTACTACTACTACTACTACTACTACTACTACTACGACGACGACGACGACGACTACTGCCACTACGGCTACTGCCACTACTACTACTTCTACTACTACGGATACTGCTACTGCCACTACTACTACTACTACGGATACTCAAACAAGCCCTACACCACTGCTGTACACGACTCCACTAGCGGAGCACTGCATAAGGAGAGAAATGAATGCACTGATGAGTCTTACTTGTATATGACACAAGGTTTGTTTTGCAAACTCACGCAGATTGACAGTGATTGCACGTCCGCGTGCTGTAATTCTTGGTTTCTACTCTATATCGTAAGCTTCTACTCTACCGCTGCTGCAATCGGAGCATTGATCCACATCGCAAACGACTTAAGCAACTGATAATTCGGGGACACATGTCACTTTAACATGGTAAAGCGATCACATCCATTGGCTTTGTATTCCTTACACCTGCCACTTTAGTTTTCTACGCTACACAGTTCAACGCGGGCTTTCAATGTCTTTCGCCCATATACTACTTTTCTCACACGGTTCAGCTTGATTTTACTTGTCCTTCGACTTGTCGGTGGC